ATGGTGTCGTCTCGATTTACTCATCCACGATACCTACTCATAGTACTCTGAGTCAAGTGCTTACAATGGCCTTGAACGGCCTAGTTCACTAAGCTGTGGCATCATCCCCAGGATCTTGAACAACAAGGAATACATTATCAACAATCGTGGGGAAGTGAGATTCACAATGTGGAGGCATCTCCGTCCGGAAGTCATACTGAGATACTCAGATCCTGGGGAATACCTGGTCTATCATGAAGCGATTCTGGGGAAATATCATTAACGGGGAGATCCGGAGCCGTGTGGAGGTAAGAGAATCGGCGCTTGATCTCCGTGTGGCTGGCTCCCGCGGCGGCCGCGATGGCTTCATCACTTCACTTCACTGGAGAAGGCATCCAGAATGTTCAACTACCGGGGACTAAGCCGGGCGCTACGGCGTTCACGGGCTTTCGCCTCCGCGCTGCCGGTTCCCTTCCATCAGACCACTCCAAAGATCCCTGAGGGGATGAGATTGAAGAGCCAGTAGGAGTTGAGGATTTGAAACAAGAGGCGGGGGAAAACAGACGAGAATGACGCGGTTTGTATTGTATCTTGAGAGTTTGAGTTTGATGGGATCTGCGGAGAAGCTGGAGATGGTTGAAGTTTTGGTATGGATGGCTTGAGTGGGGGAACGGGTAGTCCAAGTTGAAGATTGCGGGGAAGATGGGGTAACATGAGGACATCGTAGATGATGAGAGGCTGTTATCATATCAAAATACAATTAATTATTACTTGATACTTGGTAATGCATTGTATATCATTGCTGCCTAGAATAAGTGGAAATATGATAGATATTTGAACTGCTTGACCGGTGAGAGATAACCCTCTGCTTGTCTCATTACCAAGCAGCCACAGATGTATATTCAGTCAAACTATAATGCACTTTGCACATCTTCATTTCAATATGTACGTGCCCAAGCTGAAAACCTCTATTCACCGTCTTGTCCTGTTTTCATATGCTGTAATAACGGCATCAACGGCGTGGCTGAAGAATCAGAAGAGCACGACTGGACAGACTGGTTTCCTCGCTTCTAGGGCACGTTCCAGAAATGAAGCGTCATATGCAGGTTCCCTAGCGCTAAACCATCTCCAAAATGTTTTTAGCGGGCTGATGTTCCAGGCGATGTCACTCCCAAAACGTGGCGGGACCGGCGGGAAGACCGTAGCGTGCGGAGCAAACACCGGGACTGGACCGTGCTATATGGGAGGGAGACTAAAGGAGGGAACGAATAGCCTTTTGGAGATTGGTTTGTATCACGAAACATATTGAGAGTGTCTGATTCGTTGGGGCTTATTCGAAAGATGTTTGACATGATTTGCTAGTTAATTGTTAGTATCAGAATACAGGGCTAGAATGAAGCCATGATCTCTTCCTTGTTCCTAGCTGAAGATCTTGTTTGAAGACTGATCATATCAGAGGTTGACTATTGGTTTGGCAGTGAGAAGAGGGGCAACTAAAAGTGCCGTTGAAGATGGAGATACAAAGTCTTGGCCGTGTTTAGAGCAGCGAACGAAAGAGAGAAAAACTGGGACTGATGAGGGGATACAAGGTTAGTTTTGAAAGACGTGCTTCCGATAGTTGGACCTAATGCATAGTGATAAACAGCGGATCCGATGTAAGATAGGTAAGGTAGGGATGCGAACAAACAGTTGATGATCAGTGAACCCCAGAATTAGAATCTGTGAATCTCTTTATGGACATGTTTGCGTCTGTGTCAAGAATGGGATGACATGACATGGCCCGTCCCCCGTCATCTCTGAACACAAGGTCTTTCATCTGGAGACACAGTAACATGACATGACATTACATTACATTACATGAGATGAGATGCCATGCACGATTCGATTTCAACAGTCTTCGAAATAATGGTGCAGGTACACCGATCAATTGTATCTAGTCCGCAGAAGACGCGGCGCTGATCACTAAAAAAGTTGGAGAAAATAAACTTCAACTTGGCATTGGAGATTCCTTTAGTGATTCACACTAACGAAACTACACACCAACCCTGATGATCTACTGCACTGTAAACCAATTAAGGATCATTCGCTAGTTTGACCCGACTCTCTCTCTATCCCTCTCACCTTTCCCTTCATCACGGCTCACACCTCGCACATGAGTTACATGGCCCGACACGCTCAGAGCGCCATCTCGCGTGGCCGCCCCTCGGAAACACAAGGAAAGAAGAGACAAAAAAGAGCGTCACGTTTAGCGTTACATGACCCATCTGCCGGGCTCCATAATGATTTTCAACTAACTCAAGTCAACCCAAGTCAAGTCATATCAAGTCAAGGACAATGTAAGTTGATGCGTGCAAGGATTGTATTCCCTGCAATGGTACCCCAAGCCCCCCCGCAAAAGAGAAAAGAAGACCAAGATTGTCATGCGCTGAGTATTTCTCTACACCCCTCCCCTTCTGAGACATAAGAGATTTTATACCCTGTTAATGTGGAGGAGAGATACATCGAGAAGGATTCTGACATGTGGTTCGTCGGTTAGTATAGTCGGCTGCAGTAAACGGACGGACAAACGGAGGAGACAAGGGAATTCAAGGGTTATGTTATGGTTGCATACTACTCCAATTCCTTTCTCTCCGCACTATCAAGTCCATCATCCTTCCATCGTTGGCTCAAGACGAGAAACGTGGGCGCCCAACTTCTCCACACGCCAAGTTAGGGGTCTAATACGTTGAGAAGTGAGGCTTTCCTAGGATAAACTCAAGCCTGGGGAGGTTAAATAATTGACTATTAAAAGGGCCACTTTCCCCATGTTTTCCGAACAAGATATTCTACCAGAACAGTCGAGACAAGCATTTACAACTATCATCAAGAACAGAAATAGGATCAGAATTAGAAACTTGCTTCTTCTTGCTTGTTTCTTTCTCCCGTTTCTCGCCTCGTTGATACTACGCAAATAAGAGGGTTTCCTTCCTTCCCCCTTGTTGCACCTGCACCGTCACTCCCGCGTCTAGGGTTCATCACCTTACTTGAATTGGCCCTATAGCTCCTTCTGTCTGTCTCTCATATTGACGAGATTAAGTTGCTCAGATACCACCTTCCTCCTCTTTTGAGCCTCCATTCTTAGGTTCCTTCCTCCTCTTCTGTCTCGGCTGGTTGCTTCTCTGCATCCTTGTCCTCCGTCAGTTCCTTCCCACCACGTTTTTTTTTTTTTTAGAAGCCGGCCCTACTTCTACCCTTCACCTTCTCGTGTGATCCTACGATACCTACAACCCTTGTCTGTCAAGTTTCTTCGATTGTTTGGGAGTTCTCATCATGAGCGACTACGATCGAAAGGAAACTTTGGAGGAGAAGGCCTCCACTTCGGAGGTTGATCTTGCCGGTGTTAATGACCCTTATGCTGGACTTACTGAGGAAGAGGCGAGGGAAGCTGTAAGTTCTATTGAAACAAATGTTTGATGACATGCACTAACAAGGTTCCAGGAGAAGAAGTTACTTCGAAAGATTGATATGAAACTCGTTCCTTGGGTATGACAACTCTGCACTATATAACATGTAACCTACTAACCACAATCCAGCTCTGCCTTCTTTACCTCATCTGCTTCCTCGACCGAACCAATATCGGAAATGCAAAGATCGCTGGTCTACTTGATGACGTGCATATGAACACTCACCAGTTCAATTCGACTTTGACCATTTTCTACATCTCATACGCTGTCTTTGAACCTCTTGCCAATGTCCTTCTCAAGTGGTCCAAGCCATCCATCTTCATCCCTGCTATCATGTAAGTTTGAATCCTTAGATGACCACTAACACAAAACTAATTGGTACTCAGGGTCCTCTGGGGTGCCTCAATGCTGGGAATGGGCTTCGTCAAAAACTGGGACGGCCTCATGGCTGCTCGATGGTTCCTTGGTGTCACAGAAGCCGGCCTCTTCCCCGGAATTAACTACTACCTCTCCTGCTGGTATAAGCGATCCGAATTCGGTGCTCGTGCCGCGTGGTTTTTCTCAGCTGCAGCTCTTGCCGGTTCTTTCGGTGGTCTCTTGGCTGCTGCTATCCAGAAGATGGATGGCGTCTCTGGAATTGCTGGCTGGGCATGGATTTTCATCCTTGAAGGTCTCATGACCATCGTTGTTGGCATCATATCGTTCTGGATGGTCCACGATTTCCCTACCGAGGCCAAGTTTCTCACTGATGAGGAACGCGCTCGTGTTATCTACCGACTCGCAGCCGACAAGCAATCTTCTGCACAGGACGAACAATTCAAGATGAAGTACTTCTGGCAGTCCCTCACCGACTGGAAGACTTACTGCGGTATGCTCATCTACATGGGTCCCCTGATGCCCCTGTACTCTTTCAGCGTCTTCCTGCCCACCATCATCCAGAACATGGCCTTCACCGACAAGAAGCAAGTTGTCAAGAACCAGCTGCTCAGCGTACCACCCTACGCTTTGGCCGCAGTTGTTACTATCTGCGTTGGTATCTACTCTGACAGACTCAACAAGCGAGGCATCTTCAACCTATGTGCTGCCCCTGTTGGTATGGCAGGCTTCATCATGCTTATCGCTTCTACCAACCCTGCTGTGCAGTACACAGGTTGCTTCTTGGGCGCACTGGGTATCTACCCTGTCATTCCAATCACAATTAGTTGGGTAGCCAACAATGTCGAGGGTGTTTACAAGCGAGGTATCACTCTTGGTTTTGTCATAGGATGGGGCAACCTCAACGGTGTTGTGAGCAGCAACGTCTTTATTAACGGCCCACGATTCTACCCAGGACATGGAACCGTCCTTGGATACATGTTTGGTGGTATCTTTTGTGGAAGTCTTCTCATGTATGTTTTGCTCTCGCGTGAGAACAAGGCGCGGTTGGCTGGTGAGCGGGATCACCTAGTGGAGGGCAAGTCTGAGGCGGAGATTCATGAGATGGGAGATAAGCGACCCGATTTCCTTTACACACTGTAAGAATGTTTACGATACATCAGAAATAGGAGGACTGTTAGTAGTGGATGATATTATCCAGGGTTATAGTTTGGAGCTCTTTTGGTACCTAGACTGTAAAGTGGCGTTGAGCTCAATCGACCCATTACCTGACTTGTCTCTTTTCTCTGCATTTTGTGACGGCTGTGTGCATAATTCTCTCATGTGAGAGCTGCAGGTGAGAAACTGTGCTGCGAGTTTGCCTTTCAGATAGCCAATTGAATGGGCTTTGGATGTTCTAGAAAAGTAGGTGAGCATAGCATTCCAGAGCCTGATTTGAGATTCAGCCAGCCAGAGCAAAGAAGCAAACAAACAGGGCAAATATGCAGTTGGACATGCTGACTGACCTATATACCACGTTGGTTCTGTACCTGAAATAGAACAGCCTATGCCATGCAGACACAGACATTAGACATACAGTAGTAGATGTGCGTGGGTGAGCATCGAGTCGCCAAGGAGAGTAGAGTAATTGGATCAAGGCCATTGTTTGTCGCAGCAGCCACCCGCCACGTTTCATAATTTGGCAGCTCCAAACGATAGAGATCCAAGCCTCAGCAGGGTAATCGAGCTCGAGTCTGCGCCGAGAAAGGCGTTGGTGATGTCACACTCTGATTCAGCCCATGGGAGCTTACAGCTTTAGCCTTTAAGTTGAAGCCCATGTTTCTCTTTTTTTCCCTCTCTCACCGCAATTGAAACGCGCTAAAGCTTGGTTAAAAATGTCAGCTCTGCTAGACCGTCACCTTGATTTGTGTGAGTTTAGTTGAGTCAGGAGAAGCTAGGTCTCCCCGAGTCCGGGGAGGCTGAAAGTTGGGACCATGTCATCTATTTAGAGATCGAGACTAGCGAAGCGCACAGGCGATGCCAAGGCCAAGGCCAAGCCTCAAATCGCGGGGTGGAAGATGCAACGTCGAGACTCGTTCGAGGGGCGCTTTTGTTTGTGTGTTTGGATCGTAGAGAGGACCAACAGGCATAGAAGCCCTCGAGTATTAGCATATCGAGTCACCGCTTTTAGTATGGAATAACCGTTCTGGTTGAAACTTGAAACTATCAACGGGAGATGGACAAATCTGGGGATGAGATTCTGGGGGAATGAGTGTTGGTGGATGGTATAAAGTTGGTGTTGGCCAAGGCGAGCGTGACAGTTGGTGACATTTTGATCCTCGAGATAGGATATCTCGAGTTGCGTTGTGTCGTCTAGAGAGAGAGAGAGGGTGCTTTGGCCATCAGTGTCACTGTCACTGTCACTGTCACTGTCACTGTCACTGACACTGCAAAGCCTACCTACCTACCTTGGCCAAGACTATAATTCGGAAAAAGACACACATTCACTCACTCTCTGATATTCCTTTCTCCTGGAGGACGACACTTTGAAAAGATTGGCGGCTGAGAAAAGGCAAGTTGCATAGCCAAGAGATTGTGTATATGTTTAGTCAAACTAACACATTCTATCAAGCAGGCTATTGCAGTCTGTATATCTCTCTGTCGAGACCACAAATGATCTTCGCTTCTCGAGAATTCATCCTCTCACAGTCCAAAAACATAAGAGGCAAAAGATCCCTCGTCTAACTGCAACGGCAGAAACGGGTGCTTGCATCGCGTTAATGTAACACGACGCTTCGACCTTGGCCTCTTTGGACGACTCAACCATTGTTATCCCTCTTCTCTTTTCCCTCTCTCACTCTCACTCACTCTCTTGTGCTATCTCTCATTTCTCTTCCTGTCTTCCACATTTGAACAACAAGTCACGCAAAAAGGGCATCACTTGACCTTTCCTCACTCCCTTCTCTCTCGCTCTCTTCTCTTCATCCTCATTTTCCACCTTCTTTTGCTTCACATCAAACATCTTTTGCTTCTTGCACTCGCTCCCCTCTCCCTTACTCGGGACTCGGGAAACGAGAAAACATCAACAATTAAAAAATGAGTTACAAGTTCATTGCGGGAAGAGGCGTGGAGCTTCTCGAACCGAGCCAGAGGACCACGCTGGTGCTGTTTGAGCGCATAGGAGGCTCTGTCAGTTTGGTCGCTGTCCTCTGTATCTTCATCGCGTATGCGCTCGTGCCAAAAGTTCGAAATGTTCAAAACACTTTCATCGTGTTTGCGAGCGTCGCGAATGTTGGTGCGAGTTGTGCGAGTATCATTGCCTTGGATGGTTTGGAACTAGGTGTCGCTTCGCCTCTTTGCCAGGCGCAGAGTTTCATGTTCCATATGTGAGTTGCCTCTCATATTCTCCTTGGGCTATCACTGACTTCATTTAGGTTCATGCAGTCTGATCCTTGGTGGTCTCTGGCCATGGCATTCAACGTCTTCCTCGTCTTCTTCTTCCGCGCCAAGCCCGACTCGTTCCGAAGATGGTGGTGGATATATTGTCTCATTTGTTATGGTGGCCCTTTTGCTATTGCCATGGCGTTGCTTCTGGTTAGAAACCCGAACCGCGGTCTTGTGTTTGGTGAGGCCACTGTAAGTTTTGTCTCAAGATTCAAAACAAAGGGGCATTATTGTTGACATGATGACAGATCTGGTGCTGGGTTAACCAGGATTGGGAAGGAATCCGTATATACACTTACTATATGCTCGTCTGGGTTTGTATCGCTGGTTCGATCATCTTCTATTTCATGGTTGGCTACCATGTCTTCCATACTCGGAACCAACTCAAGAGTTTGACTGCCTCCAAGAGCAGAGAGCCAGCCCATGTTGAACCACTCCAGCCTCAAGCTGTAAGTGTGTTCATTGTGCATATGAAATCCCTACTGACAGTGAATAGCAACGTCAAGTCGACTTCCTCTCGGTCCCTCAAGACTGTTTCTACGGCACTATCGTCACCGAAGTCCAGGTCGTTCACTCAACACCTTCAGCGAACCATCTCCCCAGTGAGCCCAAGCCCGCTTACACTGCTGGTCCATCGTCACCTCAAGTCTCATTCGACGAGCAACCACATACTGTGCAGGGATCTCACAGTCACTACTTCTCAACCTCTATATCTCCTGGTATTAACAGCAGAGAGCGAACTAGCATGTCCCCTCTCCGTCGCATAACATCAGCGACAAACCGAACCATCAACAGATTCGTCATCGACGATCCTATCAAGCGGGCTTACTTACGCACGAGCTTCCTTTTCGCCCTTAGTGTGCTGGTGACTTGGATCCCGAGCAGTCTGAACCGCATCCACAGCTGGCTCGTCGGTACATCTCCCTACGAGTACCACGTCGCCACAGCCGCCGTCCTTCCCCTCCAAGGACTCTGGAACGCGGTCATTTTCTTTGTAACGAGTGGAGGACCCCTTAGAGAATGGTACAGAAATCTACGCCAGCCTCAGGCGCTGGAGAGAGAGATGATTGAGATGCGGGCGGAGCATGATGAGCATGTTGGAAGAAGCGGCGAGAGTTTCCTGGACGACACAGACTCCGGTAGTGACGTTGAGCTGCGAAGAATGGGAGAGGCGCCGGGCAAGAGATCGGCGAGTCTTTGAGGGGAGCTTAGAAAGGAACTTTTCTTATGTCTGCCTATATGTACGCTGAGAAGATTTATGGCTTGTGATGAGTGGCGATGTGTATCGCAATCTAGACTAGAATACTAGACTTGACGATAATTGGAATCTGATGAGTCAACTGTTGACTATGAAGCATGTCTCTAAACTCTCAAAGAGGAACAGTCATGTAGAAATAATTCATTGTATTTGTAACTGGCTACATGGCAGCACCGTGAATCACAAGGGTCTTTCCAGAGTTTCCAATTTCCTGCACCGCAGATTGCTCCACAGCCAGGAGAAGACTACTCGCCCGTACGAGCAATTCTACCACTGATCAGCACATACCGAGCAATGATGAACTAGAATCATACCTTCATACACAAGCTTGTAGTGAACTGGCGGATCATCATCTGGACCCGAGATGAGTGGCATCGTTTCAGATGCTGCCGGTGCAACGCTGAATCGTATCCCAACGTTGTTATGCGTATCAATCCAGATAATGTTCTCTGAGTCGGACTGAGACTTATCCTGTCTGCTAGCCATTTTGGCGAGCCACTTTCGGAAAACGCGTATGACCCCATCGACAATGTTAACATGGCTTATGAATAGTCCGCTCCTTGGACCCTCCTTGACAAGGTTCGTAACAGCACACAACTGGGAGAACATCTCTCCATCATCAAGGTTCACGTCTTGAGTGGCGGTATCATCTTCAACATCATCAGAGGGTTGCGCCTCCGTGGGACGTCTTCGGCTCCTCTTGATACTGCGGTTCTCCGGTGCAAAGACTGGCTTGTAGGAAGCATACAAAGATCGCAGATCAGACAACTCGGGCGTATCTTCACTAATGGGCTGACCGTCTTGCGCCGCGACACCCTGATAACGACATGCCAAATAAGGCGTGTAAAGCTGGTCGCTTGGATGGTAACACTCTAAAATAAGCTTATTATCTGGAAGAAGGGCAGCTTGGAGCAGGCGTTGATGAACGAGACGAGTGACAAGAGAGCAGATGCGGCGGTTAATCGGAGCAAAAGAGAGTAAATCTTGAGTTGAGAAGGGAGCCAAGATTGAGGTGAGAGTCTAAAAGAAAATTAATTCCTTAAAATGTCTCATATTTTCTGGGGAAATTCACTTCATTTGGTAAAATCTCGGTGAAGCTGTCGTGAGGCGTCATCATAGACTATGGCTCTCTGAGCTCAGGTTGGATAAGATAAAGGTGGCGATAGGATTAAACAGCCAGTATTTTATCCACAAAGACCAGAAACTTAATGATAGAGTAATTGATAAATAGCGGGCGTAGTTTAAACTCAATGGAGGAAAATTCGGGCGTTGATGAGGACTCTGAGTTCTTGGCGGTGATATGTTGGGTGTAACTTTGCAGCTTCAAGACGAGGGTGACAGCTTCATTAAATGTCCTAAAACGTGGGGGAGGGGCAGGCTAATTTAGTCAGCATCCGCAAGTCCGAATGACGAAATACCTTTGATAAGTTGATAACATTATCGACTCTTGTCTCAATAGAGAATCCTCCCATTATATTAAACAGATAACCCTGATAAATTCTATTCTCGCCGCCAATGCCAGTTCAAAGATGCCGAATACCTGTAAATACTCACCCTGGAGCCTTTACATCAACTCCACCACCCATATCTGGAGAGCGCGAACTTGATAGAAATTATCAGCCCCCTCATTGACTTTTTTACAATTTAACTTCCTCAATAGAACGGCAAGTGGCTATTAAGTCTGTTGATATTTACCGCGCGGCTGTTGGCTTTCATGGAGTTGAATGTTTGGCGCCAACCCGGAAGTATAACAACCAATGGAGATGTCCTTTACACGAGCGTGCATCCAATGACAAGGGCAGGCGTAACCTCAATTCTTCATTGAACTGAATGGTGATTCCTGGATCTGACTGTTGAGATTTAGAAGCACCATTATGATACCTGTATGGTTAGTGGTTAGTGGATGTAAATGTCGGAGCCGGAAGCCGGAGCGGAACGGGGGCCGGAAGCCACTCCACTTTAATCCGTTTAACCTCAACCTTGCCTCAACCTTCAGCTTCACGACCACGAGGAACTTAAACATCATATGAATACAGACTCTAAGACCCATGGCACTCCATATATTTCTACGGTAGGTCTCGGCATAGTTCTATCAAAATATGGCCATTGCCTCTAATCTGGAACTGATCCTCAAGAGACTCAAAAGCTCAACATTTCCGCATGGGGTCTTCCTCAGAGTTCAGCCTCAACATATGGTGCAATTGCTTTCACTCTTGATAGAATCATAACATCAGCTTCTTTGCCGTATCAAATCTACCCTCGGCCAAACCAGAAACTCCCCCTCGCCATCTCGATGCCTCCACCAACTCAATACGCGCAGGGCTTGAGCATCTATTCAATACAAACGCTCATTGAAGGCACAGAATTGGCGGAAAAAGACTTGAGGCTCAAAATGATGGAGAAATCACTTTCCAGATGGTCTGATCATTGAGGGGAAGTAAACGCCATGGCTCTCAACTCGCAACATGACCGGAGAAGGAAATCCCACTCGCAGAATCAAGTGACCTTGTTTCTATAAAGTCTCATGAATCCTGAGAGATCCATTCTTCTCTAGCACCATATTTTGAACCTCTAATACACGGCACAGCTCTTCCGAAGCAATGCGTTTCAATATCCTGGTGGGCTTCGGCCTTCTGGCAGCCGAGCCTGCCCTTGCAGTCCCCTGCCCACCGAGTAAGTAGCAAAAGAGTCATGCAAATACAGAGCATCTACTTACAGAACGTCTTAGGAAGCACCACAAGTATCTTCGTCGCTTCGCTGACTATTACTGAGACGCTGAATATCACAAGTGTCTTCATCGCCCCGACTACTACCACTGACACTGTCACTGCTGCGGTGACGAACTCTACAACATTGACGGACACTGTGCTTGAGACCAACATTGTTAACTTAACGGCCATGGTAACCTCTACAGAGGTGGATCTTGTTGTTGTGACCAATACCGCAACTGTCAACGCCACAGAGACTCAGTTTGCTACTGTCAACTCAATCGAGGTCCAGACTGTGACCGATCTGACCACTGCCACCACAACTGCAACTGTCAACTCTACGGAGACAGACGAGGTTACCAGCACTCAGACTGCAACTGCTAACAATACAGTTCTGTTCACAACCACTCAGGTTGATGTCCAGAGTAACACCGAGACTGCTACAGTCAACTCTACGGTGTTATTCACGTCCACAGAGATTGACTTCACCACATCAACCGACGCGACTACAGCTACAACTGTCGTCTTCGTCAGAAACTCAACTACCATCACTCAGACTTCCACTGTCAATGCGACAGAGACAGCCTTTGAGACTCAGACTGCTTTTACCACTGCTACTGTGAACACTACTGCCACAGCGTTTGCAACGGCAACGGTCAACGCTACAGCCACTACATTTGAAACCGACACAGCTTTCACTACCGCAACAGTCAATACTACCGCAACAGTGAATACCACAGCTACAGCTTTCCAAACTGACACGGCTTTCGTGACCTCGACTGTCAACACTACTGCCACAGTCAACACCACGGCCACAGCTTTGCAGACTGACACCGTCTTCACTACTTCAACTGTCAACGCTACCGACACAAGTACGTCCACAGTGACAACAACACAGACCGTCTTTGTGACAGCTACTGCATCTCCCACCGATGTCACATCCACAGAGACCAGCACTGAGGTTCAGACTGTCGATGCCACTTCTGTAGTGACAGATACTGTCGACTCAACTTCTACAGTAGTTGTTACTGCCACTGTAACATCCACTGTTGCTACTCCGTCTGCAAGCCCTAGCGCTGGTCCTGCGTCTCCTTTCGCCGCTTCACCAGCCTCTAGCTCCTCAGACACAGCCTCTGCTGCTGGAACCGCAGCTACAACAACTACAGTAGTAGCACCTGTGGGCACTACGAGTGCTTCTAGTGCTCCTGTTGCTTCAGACCCTACGTCTTCACCAGCAGTGGCCTCTTCTGATCCTACTTCTGCTGCCACTGGAGCTGCTACCACTACAACGGCGGTCGATGGCGCTCCCGTCGATGACACCCCTACGCCTTCAGCGGCTGGTCCTACGGACACTGGCACTGCTACTGAGGAACCCACTGCCTCAGCCATTTAGACTATCTAATTAGGCCTACTACTAATGGCATAGAAAAGAGTCCGTTTCTGATTCATGAGTGATGATTTTGAAATGTAACTGGAGATGAGGAGATAGCCGGATCATGCTTCCTTTGTATTTGAAGGTCCGGTATCATAATGGAGGGGTTTCAAACGACTTAGGTGTGGCTGATATGGGACAAGTACATCGTGGAGCCGTACCGGGAGCTTGCTTGATATTGTGTTACTGGTAACTCGAAGTCTTTCCTTAAGAACTGGATCGTCCATAATTGGTTTTTCATTTTGTCAAGCAATATACATGTGTTGGGCTCCGTGTTGCGTTGAGTATAGCCATGACATGAGCCAAGTGATCAACATCGTTCCTCGGCATAATCAATTACCCCAATGATTTACTGAGACATGTTACCAGAAAACAAACATATGATCGTCGATCTAACATATGAAACATCTGCAGTGATAAGCACATCATTTTTTCCCAGTGTCATCCATCCAGGATAATGGGGTTATCCTCTCACGAAGCAGATTGTGTAACTCGGCACCTTGGACAGATAGGAAATAGAGTTCCCATCGGATAACCGCCGATTAAAGGAGAAGAGCGAATTTCTCTAGATCGCCGCTAAGTTGTGAGACGTTACAAGGGCAAGTGATGGCGAAGGGAAGAGACAAGGTTTTTTTGTTATACGACGTTATGCTGGGTGGACCCTGAATTAGAGGAGAGAGCTATGCTGTGTCATATAATCTCCGATAAAGGAGTACAACGAGAACCTCCTGTACACAGAATGTAGTTTGCCTTCAGGTTAGGAATAGAGTATACAGGAATTGCCTGCTCAGGGGTATACCCTAACAAAGACAAACGAAACAATAGACCACCGGGAGTATTGATGTTTCAGTTTAAATACAACTGAATATATGATATCCGTATTATATCGGAGCTGCAACATATGCCGACATCATGCCGTCTGTATGTCTCAGTGTGTAGCTTAAACAACGCCTCATTGTTACTTCTCCAACCGGGGCTTTGACAGTTTTGGGAGACCGGGGAGAAGAGTTATGATCATTGCCAAGATGAGTCTTGCAGACATACGGAAAGATAGACAGCAAGCAGCAAGATCATCGTGTTGCATTCTGTTGTGCTTCTGAGCTGTCAGGACTGCGGATGGTTTCCGCTGCCATGGTAGAGATATTTGCAGCAAAAGTTCCCATACCACCTAGCTCTATTGGTTTACTTGCCGTAAAGAAGTGGCCTGTAGCCGTTGACTTGGTCATAGATTTTAAACTCACTTACTAAAGACAACTGAAGGCGCTAACATATGAAACTGGACGGTCGAATATCTCCGATATCGTTGACCGTCGACGACTTCCTCGGTGATACTACATAAAAACACTCCACAACATCTATTCATCCAGAGAAACATGCATCAACTGGCATCTCCCCGCCAACTCTTGCAGTTGTGTCGTGACATCACAATGTAGCATCCCGTCAATGATATGCACGTCAGTCTCCCTGCCACTCAACTCTTCGTGGGGGCGCATCTCGTCAGCCCGGAAGGTCTAGTCTCTTTGTTTTCCGCTTAGGATTACTGATATGATGGCCATTAGTGTTCGAAAGGCGGAAGGTCTCTGGGTCGAGTTGTGCAGAGTATCGGGATCGGCGAGAATGAGTTTGCCGTGTCGCGCGCAATCTTGTGTGACATTGTTTAGAGAGATAGACATGGGGTTCATGGAGCAACTGTTGAAAGCAAACATTGCATTATCTATGCAGAGACGAGTTCCAGATTTACGAAGCGATGGTGGGTGGTAGTGGACCGCTTCGTTAAAGCGATAGGGGCTTGTAATCTTCTAGTGATAGCATCTAGATCCTCGCTGTTGATATTGTAAGACTGACCTCGAGGTCCAGGACGAATATTTGATTGTATCCGTGAGTATTTCGCGGACATAAGATTGAACTAGGACAGATTCAGGCTTGTTACCTTATTTCTCCAGGTGCCTAGATCCAAGTCCGTTGCAAGTGCACTGGCAACAAGGGAACTATATTTGGCATCAATATCATTCTCTTAAATCTGCCAGGTAATAAGACCGAAGAAATCCAATAAGAACCGTCGGGTTTTATCGAAATATCCTGACAGTATGTAACATAAATGATAAGCATATATCTGTTGGTTGCTTGATACATAATCGACCACCAAAATTGCAACTGGATGTTACTCAGGCCTCATGCTTCTCTCAGTAAAGCCTATGTAACTCATTATAATTTCCACTATCGGCCAATCTGACTTGAATAAACAAAAGAACTCATCCCACAGGGTGTGAGTTTTCAGTCAGATTTTCCAAGATAAGGAATAATATGTGTGAGGATTGGGTGACATGTAATGCTATAGGGCAAAAGCGCGAAAAGCTTATCACCGCCTAGATGACATTTGGCAATAAAGAGTCTTCCAAAGGCAATCAGAATACACGCCACATCAGCTGATATGCGTCAAACAACCTTCGGACTTGGAAGAAAGCGCGAGAGCCCGATACCGAGGCTCAAAGTCCGATGAGGTTTGTCTGATATAAACATGCTCAAACTTGACCGACGATCGTCACGAAAAGAGCCAAGTGTGTTGTCCACAACGAGTGTCCTTGTAGGTTATCATTCTCTCAGGGAAATCTTCCGACGGGTTGAGCAACAATTCCTTTTTAGAAGTTGTGTTCCGTTTCGATACCAAGAGTCGTTACCTGCCTAGTCGAGTAATTGTGAAATGATCAAGGCCTCATGTCAGCAATGGCATCGATGCCGTTGGCGTTGATTGACCAGTTCATAAGGCTAAGCGAGTAAGCCGTGATCTGGCCTCGCGGCTTAGACCCTGTTCCTGCGGCTTTCTTATTTGTCGTGACATTTCATAGGAGTAAGCATATCTCCGACTGGCTCCAACCCCAGGTTGTGCCCGGCTAGTTCTTATCCCCAACCTGACTAGTTTTCCGTCGGGGTGTTTATACCACTCGGAAACACTTCCAAGGCCGGTAGAGAAAACCCAAATCTTGCGTCAGACCGGCCCGTTCCCGCGTAAGCCTCATCCGTTGTAGCGCGGAGGGTATTTACTCCGTCAAATGTAATGTACGCAACCCGTACCGATGTATCAGGAAGGCCGTGTAAGCCGGCGGTCGGCATTTCGGCATGGCTGAACGTTTGATCCCCACTTATGCTGATTTTTGAAGAAGGTGCCTATGGCTTGTGGGAGTAAGACTGATGAAACTGTATTCATCTTCGCCTAGTCCGTATGTTTCTTTCGATGTAGTTGTGTATATTCATTTGGTCGTTGCCGTGATGTTGTAAATTGTCAGCCACCACACCCTCAATTCCGCCAACTCCCCCTACGCATGATCGATCCTTGGCTTCCTGGTGGCGGCTCACAGTACCTGGGTCCAATGTGTGCTGGCGTGCCCGACAGACTTCGGCCTCGTTTCCACGTGGTGGATCTTCCCATTGCGGCAACATTGGAGATATTGGTGATTATCATCATCAGTTCATTCTATGAGCAGCATGCCGTATATGCAAAATGAGGACTCGTCGCTTCGACATTGAACAGCCGGTCCTGACGTGCTTGATAAGCCCAAATCTGAAGTTTATTCATCAGGCGGTGCTGGTCTGATTCTGACCACATCATTCAAGCCAGCTGGCCGTCGCCGTGATTTCAGGGCCCTGTTTGCTCATAGAAGTTTCGAGAAGTTCAAGATATCCTCGTTGGGGATATCAAAAACAGCCTTCTGGTCATTGTCAATGCGAATTGTAATGGCTGTCGATCAGCATGCAAGGATCCCGCGACCAGATCCCCGTGTGGCACTCCAACGCATCCATGAGGAGAGAACAAGGGGGTCTTTCTGGTTATCTGACAAAGTTTCCGTTTTGTCTCCTCAATGCCTGCCTCGTTTCTTGGTAAGACGGCTCCAAATACGATGCTCATCCAATACGTCTCTCTGTGACACTCCCGAGGTTGGAAGTCTGTCACGGGACGTTGAAGGAACTATCATTAAACGAGGCCTTGATCGTGCTGTTACACAGAAATCCTGCCCTGGACTGCATTTTTTTCTTTGAAACATTCTTGAGGGCAGCTACTTTGCTTGTGATAACAGACTGCGGCCATTGTCAGATGGTGAAACCAACCATCTAAGTTTTCGGTGAGCAGGTATTGGCATCTTTGTGCTCATGCTTATCGTTTTTTGCAGCATGTTCAGTGTTACATCATTCCAACACTCCGCCCCGGTGCGCGGCTCTGTCATACTAAGCTGCCTGCAGTTCCGACTGGTTCGACTTGAAGAATGTTTCGGAATGACAAACAGCAGCTCAGCCTTGCCGTGTCGCAAAAGTTTGTCCAATTGCGATTCTCGTATCGTTCTCTCCAGTCGCAGAAATAGAGTCGTGGCCAAGAATTGAATTAAGCTTTTGAGTGGTTAAAGACAGACCCTCGACAATGTAGCACAGGACATGGGGAAGAAGTTTGGCTACTACGTCGATACTCAGGGTTCGATGGCCTAGATCTTTGGGTTCTCACAACTCGAAACCAGGACAGGCATGAGGTGATTGATTGCGTATTCCATCGCTCGCAGACGGTTTCTTCGGCCATTTCTCTGCCAGAGAAATGGAGGCGTGTACAGAGTAAACCAGGCGTTGTAAGATGCAGGAATGCCTGTCAAAGGATGCATAGCGCCATATTTGGTCCTGTAGCAAGTGCGTAAAACATCTGCCGGCAGTGCAATCTTCAGCTTTTTGGCCCGCAGCGGCAAGGATGCGCACCACGAACTATCATAGGCTGTTGTTTGCTTCGTGTATGCAAAAACGGAGAATCCTTGTCAAATCGAAAATTGTAAAGTCTCCAATTAGTTGTTCAATATTTGTTGATGGAAAGTGAAAAAGGACAAAAGTGCCAAGGTCTTGAAGCCCGAGGTTGATGTGACGCAAAAGCTTAAGTAATTCTGAGGGCCTGTGTAAGTCATAAAGTACATATCCAGAAGGAGGGTGCT